TATATATATATATATATATATAATATATATAATTGATTAAAAATTAATAATTACTGGAAATTATTTAACCTATGTTTAATAATTACATATATGTAGATATTAATTAAAAAGAAAAGAAACAATATATATTAAATAATAATAATAATACAAAATAAATGTAATATATTATATATTATATAAATATAATTTATATATTGTATTATATATATAATTTATAATAAATTATATTATACTAAAGTAATAATTTGACTAACATTTATATATATGTATATTAAATAATAATAATAATACAAAATAAATGTAATATATGATATATTATAAATATAATTTATATATTGTATTATATATATAATTTATAATAAATGATATTATATACTAAAGTAATAATTTGACTAACATTTATATATATATATATATTTGTTAGTCAAATTATTACTTTAGTTATTAAAATAATTACTGAAGATTATTTAACCTATATTTAACAAATGCATATATGTACATGTAATTAAAAATAATAGAAAATAATTGAAGATGAGAGGAAAGAGAGCTGGGAAGAGATAGAGAAGTAAGAAAGAAGGCAGTAGGAAGTCAAAAGATGGGAGAAGGTGCAAACCTCCAGGTACACTAGATAATACAGTCTCGTGAGGGCAGAAGGGATACCTAAGTACTTGGAAAGCAAGTAGAACGAGGAGAGTAGAAGAAGAATTGCGAGATTTCACCTTCATATTGGTTCTCATTCACTTTCATATTGGGAAGAGGAGGAAAGCCAGCGATGCAGGGTCTGTGGATGGGAGAGGGAGAGTGATAGAAGCATTTGATTAAAGGATGTGTCAGAACATAAAGTAAGGAGGACGGGAGAGGAATAGAGGAAAAGATAAGAGTGATATTGGATAAGAGTGGAAGGAGGGGAGAATGGATAAAGAAGGTGGAGAGTTGGTGAGAGGGAGGAGAGGGACAAAGTTTGATATAAGGAGGAGAGTACGGAGATTTAAAGGTGGGAGATGAGGGTAAAGAAGGAAAGGAGAAGGTTGAAGGGAATGTCAAAGGATTGTAATCCTTTGGGGAAGCTAATGGAGATTATTCTATTATTATTATTATTCTATATAATAATAATAATCGTACAATGTAAATCTAAATAAATGGAAATTGATAATATAATAAAACAAAAATAAAAAAAAACCAAACACACACACATTTATGTATAATATGAAATTATTACAATAATAAATGAATATATATGTGTGTGTATTAAATAGGGACAAATGAAATATAAGAAAGTACAGTGTAAGTAAAGATGTAATCCCCTACTACTTCCTTTTTATCTATAAACACGTCTCGAGGTTCCAACGGTCATTTGAAGCCAGATATAAGTATAATAGTAGCTAACCAACGTATTATCTTGTTAGTTGTGTACGAGATTTCCTTAAGAGACATAACGCTATGTCGAGAAACGTATTTTTATTATTCTTACTTTCATTAACCTTGTATCAATTATGTTTAATTACAAAAGCTTATCCTACGTCAGAAGGATTATTAGAAGAAGAGAAAATAACTTGTGGATATGAAGTAAGTTGTAAAAAAAAAGAAAAAGAAAAAGATATTAATTTTTATAAATAATATTCCTATTTTTTTTTATATATCTTTTTTAAATTATTATTATTATTTTATTTCATATCCCACATTGACTAACGTTGTATTTTTTTCATTTGTTTTTTGTTTTTTGTTTTCAAATTTAATTTCAATATAACACACACACACACACACACACGTGTGTATCAAATAACGTTATACAATTTATTTATCAATAAATCTGAACATAGTTTTGATAGATTTTCTTTTGTTTTGTGTGTGTTTTTGTGTGCGTGTGTATTTAGTCATGTCCAGTTATACAACCAAACAAATTAAATATTCATCTGGTACCTCATACTCACGATGATGTTGGATGGTTAAAAACAGTTGATCAATATTATTTTGGAAGTAAGTAATTTTAATTATTATCATTTTTTCATTTATCAATAGTATATATATATAATAATAATAAATAATATTAAGTATTATAGTATATAGTATTATATTATAGTATAAATATATAGTGTTAGTATTAAAAGTATTATTAATTATACAGCATATATTCTATAGTATATAGGATAGTATATACTATACTATATATATATATAATACTACATTCATACTATTATACTATAGTATATTATATATAAATTATACACACAATATAAACATAATAATAATGTATACAGTACAATCTCTCTAATCCGGCACTATTAAAAACCGGATGGTGCCGGATTATTGGAATGTTCGGATTACTGGATTATAGAGAAAAAAGTGATAAGTTTTGTGGTTAGACTGCTAGACGACGACGCGGCGACGAAGCGCATAGGCGTAGAGGGAGCGTGAGTGGGGCAGGCAGGGGGTGCCGGATTATTGGATGTATCGGTCTATTGAAGTGCCGGATTAGTGAGATTATACTGTATTATATTATATTAATATTATATATATATAAAACTTTCTATTTTATTATGATTAATTGTTGTTGTTTTTTTAAAGGTAAATCTAAAATACAAAAAGCCGGTGTTCAATACATACTTGACAGTGTAATTGAAGCATTATTAAAAAATCCTGAAAGAAGGTAATTATTTGATCATTATGAAATAATATTTTATCTCAATATACAATCAATTCTAATATAAAAAAAAAAAAAAAAAAACTATATCTTAGATTTATATACGTTGAAACTGCATTCTTTTGGAAATGGTGGTTAAGACAAAACGAAAATGTAAAAAAAGATGTGAGAATGTTGATAAATACAGGAAGATTAGAATTCATTGGTGGTGCTTGGAGTATGAACGATGAAGCTGTTACTCATTATCAATCCATCATTGATCAATTTACATGGGGATTTAGGTACACACAATAAAAACAAATGAAAATTATAATTGAAATTAATTTGAAATGTAATTAATATGAAAAAAAAAAAATATATATTTATGTAGGAGGTTGAACGATACTTTTGGTAATTGTGCAAGACCACACATAGGTTGGCAAATAGATCCTTTTGGTCATTCGAGAGAACAGGCATCTTTATTTGCTCAAATGGGATTTGATGGGATGTTGTTTGGTCGTTTGGATTATCAAGATAAGTCACAACGTTTGAAGGACAAGAGTATGGAATTTATTTGGAAGGCTAGCTCTAGTCTTGGTAATAATAAATTTGTTAATTCTAATTATAAGTCATGTTTAAGTTATTTTTAATATTTTTTTATATATATTTATATATTATATAATATTTAATATATAAAAATATTTTAATTGTACAACTTTGTTTCCGCTAATTTCCTACAAATGACTTAGAGAAAAAATGACCGAAGCAAAGTTGTACACCTATTATATTATATAAATATATAAATGGTTTATAATATATATTATTAATTTTTTATATTAATTAATATAATTTATAATAATAATAATTTTATTAATTAATAAGTTAACTAATATATATATATAACTAATACATATTATAATTTGTTATATATTTAATTTAATATATATTATAATATATATAGTTATTAGTACCTTATCAACTTGTCTTAAAGTTATATTATAACTGTAAAAATAACTAATCAACAATTTGAGATATATATATATATATATATATTTTTTTTTTTTCTTTTTTACTTAGGTAATCGTGCCAACTTGTTTACTGCTGCTATGTTTAACACTTACAGTCCACCGCCTGGTTTTTGCTTTGATGTATTATGCGACGATGAACCAGTGATTGATGACCCTGATAGCCCTGACTATAACGTTCCTAAGAAAGTACGTAATTATTCCTTATCTATGTTATTATATTATTTTATTTTTATTAATTATAACTATTGGAATAATTGTACTAACATAAAAGTAGAAACTACAAAATATTCGTATTCATTGAAATATCATAAAATATATTAGGTCGAGTCATAAGTAACTTCCGATGCGGCTATGTAAAATCTATTTTTCGTATTTACCTACTATAAGTCACCGAAACAAACGGATTTTCGATATCACTATATAGATGAGGATTCAGTTAGTCTTCTGTTAACTTTTTTATGTTGTCAATGTTACATTTAACCGTTTTTCTTAACCACTGAAATGGATAGTAAAGATCACACGTGTTAGAAGTGAGATCTTCAAAAAACTAAGTTTCGAGAGAATGAGACGAATACAAAAAACTGTATAGCTATATTCCGTCTCATTCTCTCGCAGGCTAAATCCTATATGTTTGTCTCTTTTTCTCTCATTATTTAGTATAGCAGTCGTTTCATAGCTTCGTTACATAGCTTCGTTACACAGCTTCGTTACATAGCTGCGTTACCGTTTATTTACTTTTCAGATCACTCCCATTCTAAAGAAGTTTTCACTTCAATAAAAATATCTGGTCTAGGATAATTGTATTCTCTTCTTATTTAGTATCGCGGCCGTTTCATCGCCTCCCACCGCTCCGTTACATAGCCGCCTACCGCTCCGTTACATAGCCGCCTACCACTCCGTTACATTGTTTCAAATCACACCCATTCTAAAGAAGTTTTCACTTCAAAAAGTGCATATTCAACATGTAATGCTTTAGGAATTGAAACAAGGCAATAGCATTAAGGTGGCAACTGAAAAAATATACAGCTTATACAGTGCAGGACTGATAACTGATAGGGCAGTTAGAAATTGGTTTGTAAAACTCCGTTCTGGAGATACGATCTTAAAAGATGAACCGAGTGCAGGACGTATTTCCGACTTTGATGAACCTTTTAAAGGTAATATTGGAGCAAAATCCAATAAATACGTCCATCAGAAGCAAATAGTGCAAAAAAAATATATCATGTGGGCAGATCACACGTGTTAGAAGTGAAACATCAAAAAACTAAGTTTCGAGAGAAAAGGACGACTGCAGAATATCAAGAGTAGGATAATTGTTAGGTTTATTTGTTATAATATTAATATTATATTATTGTTATCACATTCAAAAATAATTATACGTTTTATTGAAAACATATATAAATAGATAACATATTACACAGTAAGCAAGTTCTCAATTCAAAGAAATGAAACGAATTGCTTCTGGTAACTTAAAAATGCATGGTAACAAAACACCTCTGTTAGTCTAGTAAAAACCTCACTACTTTTCGGAAAAAACCTCACTACTTTTCGTATGTGGGTACGTTTTGTAGTATGCAGTCGCACACAAACACACACATATACAACCAGGAGCGATAACTACGAAGCATAGCATAAAGAGGAGACCATGAATAGGATAAACTGTATAGCTATATTCCGTCTCATTCCCTCGCAGTCTAAATCCTATGTTTGTCTCTTTTTCTCTCATTATTTAGTATGGCAGCCGTTTCATAGCTTCGTTACATAGCTCCGTTTCCGTTTATTTACTTTTCAGATCACTCCCATTCTAAAGAAGTTTTCACTTCAAAAATCTTCATGAAAGGTGTCTTGTACTTATCAGTCGCAGAAACGCCATTCTTTGTCTCATAAGAAACGGAAGTTATTTATGACTCGACCTAATGTATACAGGTTGATTCACTAGCTCTTGTCACTTAAATAGCTGTAAAAGTATGATAGTAACAAAAAAATGGCTAAGAAAAAAGTTGCATGAAAAATTCAGGACTATAACATGACGTTAGTATTTTCTTGCTAGGTTGAGTCATTTTCAAGATTTATTGATCAACTTTGTTTTTTTAAATACAATGTTACACTTTAATACTTATTTTCGGATAGCGGTTGACAAGACGAATTCAATGAAGTGCAACATTAAATACAAAACCTGACAATGATCCAATAAAAAAAGCTAAAAAGTGAGCTGGTAAATCACACTCTGTATATTTATAATTTAAATATTATATTAAAATTATTGTTTTTTATAATAATATGATCAACATTATTGCAATAGAAAATATTATATTTTTTGGTTTCTGCTTATATATATAAATAAAATAAAACAATTAGAATATTTATATATATTTTGTTGTTGTGTTAACAATGACTGTTGCAAGATATATGCATATATATAAAAAAAAAAACAAATTAACTTTTATCTTATATAATTTTTCTTATACAACAGATACACTAAAGATGATAACGATATATCTTTTTGTTTTGTTGTTTCTTCATTTTTTTTTTGTTTTTTATGTTTTTTTTTTTTTTTAAATTAGATAAACGATTATCTAGAATACGCGAAAGAACAAGCAGAACATTTTCGTACAAATAATATTATATTAACTATGGGAGGAGATTTCACTTATCAACAGGCGGAAATGTACTTCACGAATCTGGATAAGTTGATAAGGTACTAACACAACTTCTACAGATTTATACTTATGCTTGTTGTGTATGTTGAGATGCGTGTCTCTCTCTGTGTGCATGTATATGTGTGTATGTGTGTAAATTATTCATACCGATTGACACAATTTTCTGTTACTTTTTTACGATTTATCAATCTGTTTAACGCATAACACATTTTATTATGTTTTTTTTTTTTTTTTTTTTTAATGCTATTTAAAATTATTTTTACAAAAATCTTCAAAAAAAAAAAAACAATAAGATCAAAATGTAATAGTTTATTTTTAAACAAAATTTTTTAAATATGCTAAAATTTGTTTTTAGAGATTTTTAATTACACACATATACAACACATATAAACTTTAAACAACGTTCACAAATTTTTTCATTACAAATCCTTGCAATTTTACAATTATTAAAACAAACTTTACAATGAAAAACAATGTTTTATGTACAAATGCATGTGCATGCGGTGAAATGATGGGTCTGTTTAATCAAAATTATTGTCTCATATTTGTTTAAATTATGTTAGAAACAATTATTCCAATAGTAATTTCAAGTACAAAATTGTCAAATAATAAAAATGATTCGTAACGTTAACGTTTGTGAATAAATGTTTAAACAAAACAAAACGAAAGAAAAGAAAACAAGTAAAAAAAAAAAAAATAAAAAATCTAGTAAAATATTGCATTTGGAAAGGAAAACATTGTGACCTTTGGTAAAACCACTGACCTTTGGTAAGTAAACAAAAATCATGGGTACATTAACAGGTGGAGTACTTCTTGGCATATGTACTATTTCAAGCGAGATTTTACAATACTAATAATGTTATCATCACCATGGGAGACGATTTTAATTATCAACAAGCAGAAATGTGGTTCGACAATTTAGACAAATTAATCAAGTAAGTTTGTTTTATTATTCAATTTCATCCTGTTAATCCTGCTTTATTAACAACAACAACAACAACAACCAAAAACAAACAAAACAAAAAACTGATTGTTACAAATCAAATATACAAGGTAACAAAATTTAATTATTCTATATTGCATGTTTAATAATATTATAATATACAGTATAATCTCACTAATCCGGCACTTCAATAGACCGATACATCCAATAATCCGGCACCCCCCTGCCTGCGCCACTCACGCTCTCTCTACGCCTATGCGCTCCATCGCCGCGTCGTCATCTAGCAGTCTAACCACAAAACTTATCACTTTTTTCTCTATAATCCAGTAATCCGAACATTCCAGTAATCCGAACATTCCAATAATCCGGCACCCTCTGATTTTTAATAGTGCCGGACTAGTGGGATTGTACTGTATATATATTATTATATTATTTATATTATATATATTATACATTAATAATTTATTATATTATTATATATATTATTATATTATATATATATATTATATATTAATATATATATATTATTGTAAATATTATGTTAAATTATTGTATATAATATTATTTTATTAATGTATAATATTATTTTTATTAATTTTATATATTATAATATTATCACACATATAATATTATATAATATTTATTTATATTAATATTAATATATTAATATTATAATATAACTGTATATATATATATTGTATATTATAAATTAGAATATTATATACTATAATTAAATAATTAATTATATCAATATTTATTTATATCAATATTTATATAATATATATATATATATATATATATATATATATATATAAAAATATTGAAATTATTTATAATATGTTGTAGATACGGAAATGAATTAAATGGATCAACGGTTAATTTAATTTACTCGACGCCATCTTGTTATTTGAAAGCATTACACGATGCAAATATTACTTGGCCGTCAAAATCCGATGATTTCTTTCCTTATGCAAGTGATCCTCATGCTTATTGGACAGGATATTTTACTTCAAGGCCAACTATCAAATATTTCGAAAGAATGGGAAATAATTTGTTACAAGTAAGTCATAAAAGAAAAATATTTTACAATCAATCATTTTTCTCAGTTTAACACTAGATATATCACCACTAGATATATCGCCATTTTGCATGCTTTTTGAGCTTTGCTTCCAGTCTTCATTTACTCTTAAAAAAAAAAGAAAGATAACAAAAAATATTTAACAATAATAATTTTAATAAATAAATGGATGTATAGACATTTTTCATTAACAAAATGCAATAATTATATATATATATATATGTCAGTTATAAGAATACATTAATTTAAACAGATGACCAAACAAATGGCCGTATGGGCAAAATTGGATCATAAGGAAATAGAAAATTTAGAAAAATTCCGTGAAGCTATGGGAGTCATGCAACATCACGATGCAGTTACCGGAACGGAAAAACAATTGGTTGCAAATGATTATGCTCGTTTATTGTACGAGAACTTGGTCAATAACAACATCGTCGCTGCCAATTCTATTTAGTAATTAATCATTACAAATTTCATTTGATTCATTATCAATTAACATTCCTTGTCACATAAACTCAAATCTAATTTATTTATTCTATTTTTCTTTCTATTAACAGCAAATGGGCCAATGAGAAAAATTCAACGACAAAATTGATAGTGTCTTCCTGTTTAGAATTGAACATAAGTTCTTGCCCTTATACAGAAAATAGTAGACAGTTTACATTGATAATATACAATCCACAAAGTCAACCAGTTTCTACGTACGTTCGTTTACCAGTAAATGGAAGTTCTTATGAAGTATTTGATTGGGCAGGTATAAACAATTTTTATTTCTTTTTTGTTAAACTAATCCTTAGTATGAGAAATACGTTACGATTGATATCATTTTTGTAATTTAATTAACAGAAGATATTTCAATTTTATCGCAAATTGTACCAATACCCAAAAGAGTTTTACAAATACCTGGAAGAGAAAGTAAAGCTACTAATGAATTAGTATTTCGCGTTAATGATTTACCACCATTAGGTTACAAAGTGTATGAAGTTACTGAAAAACCTAATACGTATGAAGAAACGCCATCTGAATCAACTAATTTCATAGGAGGAGACGTGAGTTAACAAATGTGTTCACATTTTTCTTATTTTTTCTCTACTGACAAAACAATTATCTTTTTTTTTTTTTTGAATATTTTCTTCATTATATTTTCTATTAAATGTGAAATATATTCAATTATTTTTAGTTATACACAATAACCGTTGATGAATCTGGTCATATTGCTGTACAATATAACAATCAAAATGACATGAATTTTGTTCAATCTTTTCATTATTATGAAGGAGCGGAAGGTAATAACAAAGTATTTGAAAATCGATCATCCGGTGCTTATATCTTTAGACCAAAAACTTCAGAGATCCATGATTTTGTATACGAGGGAGATTATTCAATAGTTAAAGGTAAATTGTTTTAAATATTCACATTAATTTATGTCCATAATTATAAAAGTAATTTAAAGTCAAATATATCTCTTGTTTCGACATATTTAAAAGATTACATTTAAACGTTAAATAAATTCAAAATAATGTTTGAAATAAAAAACACCATGTAACTGTTCATTTTTGACAATATCGTTAAAATTACATTCAATTAATTTAGCTTAATATAATGTGAAATAACTAATAAACTCATTTTTTTTTGTTTTTGTAATTTTGATTTTGACTGTTTTCATAATTATGGACACAATTAGTAAATTTAATCAAAAATAGTAACAAACTCCTAATGATAAGCAATCCTCATATATAATTGTATGAATGCATATAAGCCTTGAAAATAAGTAACTATGTATTATGAATGAATGCATTTAACCCCTGACGATAGGCAACCATTATGAATAAATGCATATAACCCCTGACGATAGGCAACTATCATGTATAAATGTATATAACCCCTGATGATAGGCAACCATTATGAATGAATGTATATAACCCCTGATGATAGGCAACCATTATGAATGAATGTATATAACCCCTGATGATAGGCAACCATTATGAATGAATGCATGTAACCCCTGACAATAGGCAACCATTATGAATAATGTATATAACCCCTGACGATAGCAACCATTATGAATGATTGCATTTAACCCCTGACGATAGGCAACCATTATGAATGAATGCATGTAACCCCTGACNGTATATAACCCCTGACGATAGCAACCATTATGAATGATTGCATTTAACCCCTGACGATAGGCAACCATTATGAATGAATGCATGTAACCCCTGACGACAAGCAACCATTATGAATGAATGCATCTAAAGATATATAATGATGAAAAAAAAAGAATAAATATATATAAAAGTTGTAACTAATTCTAAAAAATTGGTTTCACAGGTCCCTTAGTAGAAGAAATTCATCAAAATGTTAATCAATGGATCAGCCAAGTTGTCAGAGTTTATAAACAAGAGGAACGTATTGAATTTGAATGGCTCATTGGTCCTATTCCTGTCGAGTAAAACAAAATTTATTAATATACTTAAAGATTATTATTATTATTATTATTTTATTCTTATAACCGATTTAATAATATAAATTTTGGTTTTTTTTTTTCTAACAGAGACAAAATAGGTAAAGAAGTAGTAACGAAATATACGAGTAATTTGAATTCCGATGGTGAGTTTTATACGGATAGCAATGGTCGTGAAACATTAAAACGTAAACGGGATTACAGACCAACTTGGAATTTAAAATTATACGAACCAATTGCTGGAAATTATTATCCTGTAACTACGAAAATGTATTTGAAGGATAAAAATAAACCATTGAAGTTATCCGTATTTACTGATCGTTCACAAGGTGGTACCAGTATGAAAGACGGAGAATTGGAATTAATGGTAAATATTAAAATAAATTACTAATAATAATAATAATAATAATAATAATAATAAATCAACTTTTGATAATTAATTAATAAAAATAAATGTTTACAGCTTCATAGAAGATTATTAAACGACGATGCATTCGGTGTTGGTGAAGCTTTGAACGAAGTTGCTTACAATACTGGTCTTGTAGTACGTGGTATTCATTACGTTTATGGTGGTAATACCAAAAATCTTGATGCTTTCACATTGAAAGAGAAAAAATTAATGTTAGAACAAACACTTCGTCCAACTATACTTGTTATACCTTTTATGCAAAAAAATATTGATAATTGGCGTAATACTACTTCATTGAAAGTAAGTTAAATACAATATATATTATTTATTTCATGTGTGATAATCATTTTAATTAAATATTTAATTATACTAATAATATAATAAATAATAATTTATATTATATTAATATAATTAATATAATATAATTAATTATA